CCGACTCGCGGTCACAGAAGGCCTTCAGCCAGCCCCGCCATTTCCTCCTCCTGTGCAGGAGCCCGCTGCGGGGGAAGGGCAGGCACAGGAAACACACCCAGTTGCTCATGGCCTGAACTTTCCCTGAGGTTCCGGGGCCGACCAGCGTGTCCACGCACTCGAAGCAGTAGCATCTAGAGTCAAGCAGAGTCCCAGTCATGGAAGTGGCCTTCCAAAGGCCACCAGGCAGCAGGGAGCGATGGAAGCCACCCTCAGGCTCACGGAGAAAGACTCACCCCGCACGCATGGGGCAGGGATGAGAGTGAGCTGTCACCCGGGAAGGGGGACCAGTCCCACCTAGGGACCTAGAGCGCACGAGCGAGCCATCTGCAGAAGACAGCGAGGTGGGGGGTGATTAGCAAGACAGCGAGGTGGGGGGTCATTAGCAGGCAAAGACAGATTCCACAGAATCCGCTAAGCCTCCGGTCTGCCCCACCTGCGGAGCCTGCGAGAAGTTAGGGTCTCCCAGGGAACCCAAGTGCACGGACACCCGCTGGGGGGCAGGTCTGGGGAGGAGAGAGACGGAAGTACAATGATGGCCCAGAGAGAGCGAGCGGGGAGGACCCCTGGCTGGAGCCTGGCCAAGACCCTGACCTCCACCCCCCCGGGAGCGGGAAGCGGGGTTTGCGTCACTTCCCTGCTCATGACTGAGGAAGCCACACGTCTTGGCACTAACAACAATAAAGAGAAAAATCAGGAACGCAGATCTTCTGACGCCTCACCTCCCACATGTCAGGGCTCAATACCAAACAAAACACTTGGGATGGACATGGAAATCATCTTGGGGGGAAATCCCCCCTCGCTGCGGGCCGAGGAGCCCAGAGGCTGGGCGAGCCCTGGATGGTGGGCAGGGGCTCCTTTGCTCATACTGCCCCCCAGCCCCTCAAGCCCCCCCGCCCCGCTGAGCCCCCGCCCCCAGCTGGGCCGGCGCCCCCGGGCTCACCGGGTGCAGTCGGGGTTTTCGCAGATAAGCAGCGTCTCTCCCGCGCAGCAGATGGAACAGTATGACTGGTACCCATCATCGTCGTATAGGAAGAGGCAGTCCAGAAACTTGTCCTTGGTGAGGGGCAGAGCCAGGATGGCACCCCCCTCTGCCCCGAGGCCTCCAGCAAGCCACCCCTCAGCTCCCTGCTTACCTTGCACGGAGCGCACATCCCCCCTTCAAACAGAGGGTGCTGTGTGTGCACCTGGAAGCTCCCACAGCAGATGCACATGTCTGACGCGGACGTCCGACGCGCCCCACGGGTCATGACACCAGCAAACAGAGCAACAGACTTAGCAACGATCGTAACGGAAGAAGTGCAAGACCCGTACACGGGTAACTACAGAACGTTGCGGAAAACAATGAAAGATCTAAGCAAATGGGACGGTATCTCAGGATCTCCTGTGTACGGATCAGAAGACTTAGCCTGGTTACAGCTCCAGGTCTCCCCAGCTGCTCTACAGATCCCCCTCAAGATCCCAGCTGGCTTTTCTGTTTTGGGTTTTGTTTGTTTGTTTTTTGATTTTTGGCAAAAATTGATAAACTGATCCTAAAATGCATATGGAGGGGCGTCTGGGTGGCTCTGTTGGGTAAGCCACCGACTCTTGGTTTTGGCTTGGGTCGGGCATGATCTGAGTCCTGGGACTGAACCCCCCACCTCAGGCTCTGTGCTGGGCGTGGAGTCTCCTTCAGATTCTCTTTCCTTCTGTCTGGCCCTCCTCCCTCCCCCCTCCCCCCCCACCCCCCCCCCCCCTCCCCCGTCACCCCCTCCCCTGGGCATGCTTGTTCTTTCTCAAATAAATAAATACATCTTTAAAAAATGCATATGGAAATACAAGGGATCCAGAACAGGCATATCCGCAGAAAAACAAAGGAGATTCATGGTTGCCTAATGCTGAAAAGGGGAGGCGGTGGCCAGGGTGGGGTCCTGGGTTTCTTTTTGGGTGATGAACATGTCCTAAAATTAGACTTCGGTGAAGGTTGCATAACTCTGTGACTGTACTGGTAGATACTGGAATGAAGCCTCGGGGGACCTGGGGTGGGTGCAGGGAGAGGAGCAGGGCCCCCGCGACGGCCAGGGCCTTCTCCAGGGCCAGCGGCTGCGTGAGGCTGAGCAAGGCTGGCCAGAGCTAGCTGACCTTCCCCTCTACCGGGGCCAGGGCTTACCTTCTATGTCTCTCTGGTTAACCTTGACTTCATATGCAAGAAGATCTGGAAAAGAAAACAAGAAGGAGACCGTCCCCTCTCCTGCTTTGCTCTCATGTAAACATGGCCAAGTGTCATGGGGGTGACCTGATGTCACAGGAGCTGGGGGGCCCCGGGGAGGGCCTCCTGCCCCTCCCCAGGCGTGCGACTATTCTAGAAGCCTGGGACCCTAGATATGGCCCAGGCCTGGGGTTGGCATCCTAAGTGATGGACCCAGTACCCTTACCTCTGCAGGGCCCAGGGGAAGCCGGCGCTGACAGCTCGCTGGAGCCCACCAGGATGACATCCATGCTGTGCTCTGTGTCCGGCTCCAGGACTGGGACAACCACATGGAGACCCCGCCAGGAGAAAGGACATGTACAGAGGAAGAAAGTGGCCAGTGGGCCTCTGCCTGCGAGCCCTGGCTCCCAGCATGGGGGATGCACCTGGCCACCCAGCTTGGGCCCCACCCACCTCCTATGGTACCACCTGCTCCTCCTGACCCAGCATCCAGGGCCAGAAAGACCTGTGGTGAGTGCCAACCTTGCCAGGAGGCTTGATGTGTTCCTTGTGGCAAGTCCCTCCCCGCCCAGGGCCCCTGCCACAGTGTGGGGTCCTGTGGGCTTCTCCCCACAAAGGGGAGGGCAGGAGGCCTTAGGTGGGGCAGAGGGGCCCAGGTCTACCCACAGCTTCCAGTCCCTCTGACACCCTCATGCTCTCTCCTCTCACAGTGTCCCCCAGGCCCCAGCTTGTGGTCTCCGGGGATGACACCTCAAGCACAAGAGGCCAAGGCCGAGGCCGGGAGAAGTAAAAGGACTCACGGATTTCACAGGTGGTGACCTGCCAGGGCTCCTCGTCCAGCGGGTCAGAGTCTGAGCGGTCCAGGGCCTCCACACTCAGGGTACCCCCGGGTGAGAGGGCCATGAAACCCGGACAAGGGGCTTCCCAGAAACCAGTAGGAGACGTGTGGGGTCGGAGAAGTGGGGGCCAGGGGTGTAGACCCGCAGAAGAGCACTGGGGTGGGGGGTGCGCAGGGTTCCCGCGCGCTGCGTGACGTGCGGGGGCGGGGAGGTGCGGGGGAGGGGCAAGGAAGCCCTCACTGCCACCGGGTGTTGGGTGGAAGGGTGAAGGGCTCATGCGGGGCACTCATGCTGGGTGGGGGGGTTAGGGAGTCCAGTGGGGGAGGGGGGAGGAGAGCCCTCAGGGTGGATGGGGTTAAGAGCCCACTTCTATGAGGGGGTTTAGGGTGTGGGGTGAGGGGGATGCAGTAAGGGGACCCTGAGTTGGAGGCGGAGTTGGGGGAGACTAGGGCAGGACGGGGAGATAGGGAGCTGGGCGGGGGAGGGGTGCTGGGGGCGGGGCTTAGGGGGCTCAGTGCTCTGGGCTGAGGTGGAGGCGGGGCTCCAGCAGGGAAGGGCAGGAGGTTCAGGGGTCAGGGTGAGGGAGTTCTGTGCAGGCTTAGGTAGCTGGGGGGTAGCTTCCAGAGTGGAGATGAGGAAAAAGGAGCCAGGGGGCATTTACTGCAGGTGAGGGGCCAGGGCTGGAGGCGGGCACATTTAGGCCCTACTGGGGACTCCGCAGAGGCTGTGAGTAGGAGGCAGAGGACCACTTGCAGGGGCCCAGCCTCAAGACGGTTATAGGGCTGGGCAGATGTTGGGGAGATACCAGGGGAGGGGGTCATAACTCTCTTTCTCCCAACTTGGGTGTGGGCCCGGTGACCTCCCTGTGAAAATTGCAGAATGGGGAGGGCAGTAATTCTGCAGTGAGGAACCTGACAGACCCCTGCCTCTGCTGGGCGACCAAGGTTGACTTCAACTGTGACAAGGAGGGCACTCCCCCTCCGTGGTCTTCCTCCCGACAATCCATGAGCCCTACCTCTCCCGACCCATGAGAAAATCACCAGAAGATTCCAGTAGAGGGACACTCTGCAAGATCCTGCCCAGGAGTTCAAAAACCTGCCAAGGTCATCAAAGGCTAAGAAAGTCCAAAATGCTGCCACAGCCAAGAGGAGCCCAAGGAGACCTGCCAAAGAAATGTCCCATGGGATCTTGGATATCAGAATATCAGAAAAGGATATTAGGGAAAATGAAGGAAATGTGAGTTCGCTGTGGCTTGTTAGTTTAGGTAGCAACGTATTGGTGCTCCATCTCTTGTAACAAACTGTAGATATAAAACTGTTCTGAAATTATTATTTTTTGATAATACAGTATTGTTAACTGTAGTCCCATGCTGTGCATCACATTCTCACAACTTGCTTATTTTGTAAATGGAAGTTTGTGTCTTTTGACCACCTTCACCCATTTTGTCACCCGACCCCTCATCCTCCACCTCTGGCAACCACCACCCTGTTCTCTGTAGCTCTGAGTTCAGGTGTGTGTGTGTGTGTGTGTGTGTGTTTAGATTCCACATATAAGAGTGGTCATATGGGGAACACAATTATCATATGATTGCACTCATATGTGGAATTTAAAAAACAAAAGAGAAGAGCATAGAGGAAGGGAAGGGAAAATAAAACAAGAAGAAATCAGAGAGGGAGACAAACCATGAGAGACTCTTAATCATAGGAAACAAACTGAGGGTTGCTGGAGGGGCGGGGGGTGGGGGGATGGGGTAACTGGGTGACGGGCATTAGGAGGGCCCATGATGGAATGAGCACTGGGTGTTATATGCAACTGATGAATCACTGACCTCTACCTCTGAAACTAATAATACACTGTATGTTAATTAATTGAATTTAAATAAATTAAGATAAAATTTAAAAAAGAGAGGTCATATGGTGTTTGTCTTTCTCTGTCTGACCTATTTCACTTAGCATAATATCCTCAAGTTCCATCCATGTTGTTGCAAATGGCAAGATTTCCTTCTTTTTATGGTGAGTAATATTCCACTGTGCACACAGACAATATTTTCTCTATCCGTTGATTCACGGACACTCAGGCTGCTTCCAGGTCTTGGCTGTTGTAAATGATGCTGCAGTGAACACGGGGGTGCAGACAACTTTTTGAATCAGTGTTTTCGTTTTCTTTGGATAAATGCCCAGAAGCGGGATTGCTGGGTCTTAGGGTAGCTCTATTTTTAACTTTTTGAGGAACCTCCACACTGTTCTCCAGAGCGGCTGCACCAGCTCGCATTCCCACCAACGGTGTAGGAGGGTTCCCCTTTCTCCGCACCCTCGCCATCACGGCATTTCTCGTCTTTTCAATTTTAGCCATACTAACAGGTGTGAGGTGATCTCATTGTGGTTTTGATTTGCATTTCCCTGATTAGTGATATTGAGCATCTTTTTATGTGTCTGTTGGACATCTGTAGGTCTTCTTTGGAAAAAAAGACGCTATTGAGACCTGCTGCCCATTTTTTAAAAGGATTGTTTGTTTTATTGCTATTGAACTATATGTGTCCTTTATATATTTTGAATATTGGCACCTTATCAGATATAGAATTAACAAATTTGAAGTTTTATGGTTTCAGGTCTTAACGTTTAAGTCTTCAAGGCATTTTGAGTTTATTTTTGTGTGTGGTATAAGAAAGTGGTCCAGTTTAATTCTTTTGCATGTCCAGTTTTCCCAACACCATTGATAGAAGAGGCCATCTTTTCTCATGTATATTCTTGGCTCCTTTGTCATAAATTGATTGGCCATGTATGCATGGGTTTATTTCTGGGCTGTCTATTTTATGTCTGTCTACTGATCTGTGTGTCTGTTTTTATGTGGCTCTCACCCCATTTTAACGATTACAGCTCTGTGATACAGTTTGAAATCAGGAAGTATGATGTCTCCAGCTTTGTTCTTCTTCCTCAAGATTGCTTTGGCCATTTGGGGTCCTTTGTGGTTCCATACACATTTTGGGATAGTTTGTTTTATTTCTGTGAAAAATGCCATCAGAGTTTTGCTAGGGATTGCACAGAGTCTGTAGATTGTTTTGGGTAATGTGGATATTATGACAATATTAGTTACATGAGCACAGGATATTTAAGATACCCTTCTAAATATTTAAAAAATATTCTAAAATTTTTAATTTTTAATTTTTAAAAATTTTTTAAA